TGAATTATGTATTTTAAATAATATAAAAATAAATAATATTAAATTTAAAAAATGTATTTATTTAAAGACTAAGTTTTTGCTTTAATAAAGTTTTTGGATCCTTTATTTTTTAAGTGCTTTATTTTTTTTCTTTAATATAATTTGGTTATACATTTACTAAAATTCACTAAATTTGCATTTGATAACTAATTCTTTTCCAATCCATTATCTAAAAGAATGGGTAAGGTAATAATTAAAGTAAATAATAATACTTTACTAAACTTACTATCTCTATACTATCTAACTCCATACTCTTATTATTCTTTAATTACATCACTAAAATCATACTTAAAACTGATCCCTAAATTAATCAATTCGTAATTGAGATTTGATCTATTTAACTGTTTGACTCGATCAAATTAAGTAATTAAACCTCTCGACTCTGATTAATTAATTAAGTGATTTCATGTAAACACGCGACTATATTGAGCGATATTCGTGTCCAGTTCTCAATAAATTTGAAGCTAAACAGAAAATTCTATTGAAGCCATTCTTCCATATAATACCTTATTGATATGCATTAATACTCTCTAAATTATGTTAATTATTGAGGTGCTAATTTAAAAAAAGAAAAGTAAGAATAATTCGTATTATATATTAGCGTTATTAAAATAATACACATTAATAAAATTCTTAAAGCATATCTATACTTTCCTTATTCATATCGACAAGAATCTCTTAAACATGCTAGTCACGTTTAAAAAAAATTTTTAACATTGTTAGTTTAACAAAAATAGAGAATACCAGTAATTCAACTGCATTTATACTTCCTTATTCATATTAACAAGAATTCGAATAACCATATTCAAACTGAGGTGCTAATTCAAAAAAAGAAAAGTAAGACAAATTCGTATTATATACTAGCGTTATTAAAATAATAAACATTAATAAAATTCTTAAAGCGTATCTATACTTTCCTTATTCGTACCAACAAGAATCTCTTAAATGTGCTAGTTGCATTTAAAAAAAAATTTTAACATTGTTAGCTTAATAATAATCGAGAATACCAGTAATTCAACCGCATTTATACTTCCCTATTCATATCAATAAGAATTCGCATAACTATATTCAAACTGAGGTGCTAATTCAAAAAAAAAAAGTAAGACAAATTTGTATTATATATTAGCGTTATTAAAATAATACACATTAATAAAATTCTTAAAGCATATCTATACTTTCCTTATTCGTACTGACAAGAATCTCTTGAATGTGCTAGTCACGTTTAAAAAAAAATTTTAACATTGTTAGCTTAATAATAATCAAGAATACCAGTATTTCAAACCATATTTATATTTCCCTATTCATATCAACAAGAATTCGAATAACCAAACTGAGGTGCTAATTCAAAAAAAGAAAAGTAAAACAAATTCATATTATATACTAGTGTTATTAAATAATAAACATTAATAAAATTCTTAAAGCATATCTATACTTTCTTTATTATTTGTATTGACAAGAATCTCTTGAACATGCTAGTCGTGTTTAAAAAAATTTTTTAACATTATTAGCTTAATAATAATTAAGAATACCAGTATTTCAAATCACATTTATACTTCTCTATTTATATCAACAAGAATTCGAATAACCAAAATGAGGTGCTAATTCAAAAAAAGATAGCTAAATTATTAAAAATAAAATTAGTATTATTAACATAATAATGCCTTCTAAATTAGAGTAATAAGAACTTAAAACACACTCATTAAGAATTCTTCTTCATACAATATTTAACTATTTGTATATTAAATAAGACATTTTTGTAAAATATAGCACTAACTCAGAAAAATATATAACAGTATCTATTTTTCTTGGTGTTAATGTATCTACACTTTTTTTTCTGCCAAAATGCCACCTAGACGTTCAAAAGCAAAAAAAGTATCCAATCCTTATTTTAAGAAAAAAAATTCCCAACCTACCACAAATTACTCAGACTATTATATTTTTAGAGACAAAATTCATGCTTCTTTTCCAGTCAATGTTGATGAAACTAGTGCTAGATTTTTGGCTTTCATAAAATTGATACCTCTCCAAAGTACTAAAAATAAACAATATTGCAATAAATATATTAAATGGCATTTAACCAAAGTTAAATGCACTTTCAATCCAACCTATGGTATAGAAGATAGAATTGTAAAAAAAATATGCTCCTTACACAGTTTTCTAAATAATAATAATGAGTTATCTGAAGCTTCATTTGATAGTTTGGTTGTATATAAAAAAACCAAAGAATATAAGACATACACTAACACTGAGCATAACTATGTTGCTAGTGAGGCCCAATGGTTTTCCACTCAATCTATGCCATTGTCTATGGCAACTATATAGTCTTTTAAAACCATGTCTGGCTTTGCAAAAAATATAAAAAATACAGAAGTAGGAGTAACTTTGTTTGAAAGTGATATCCAATATAAAGAAATAGCAATCGAACCAGTTGATACCATAATAAATGATCAATATATATTTTATAGAAATAGTGAATTAGAGTTTATAAAAAAGTGACCTGAAATAACCAATGATTCTATTGAAAATAGAGAGAGTAAAACTAATAGTAAAGAGGACCAGGTATCTGAAATAATCAATAATTCTATTGTAAATAGAGAAAGGGTGTCTGAAAATAATAGTAGAGAGGACCAAGTGTTTGAAATAATTGAGATATCAAGTAACAAAGAGAACAAAATACCTGAAATAATTGAAATATCAAGTGATGAAGAAAACCAGACACCTGAAGATGAACAGACACCCAAAATAATTGTATTATTAAGTATTTTAAAAGAACAAACTCCTGAAACAGCTATAATGAATAGTTTTTAAATATATAGTATAACTTACCATATTTTGTTTGAATCTATTTCTGCATTCATATTGTTTTATCTATAAATGAAACTGAGATAATGTTATTATCTTTTTTGTTCAAAAGAGAGTTTATAAAATGAAAATATAATTTCAAATAACTTTTTTTTTTTAACCTTTACCTACTGTATATATTATATTAAGATGAAGTTTATCTTATCATTATCGTTATCTTGTACAGTACTATGTAATATATGTAATAGCCAAATTTAATTAATTAGTTAATTTGTATTTAACCAATTCTGATTGGTCAAAAATATATGTAACAATTTTTTTTATATATTGGGGCACCAAAAAAAAAGTCTATTTCAGAATCGTTAAAAATGTGTAAGACAGATTTTTTCAAAGTTATTATTTGTTTAATAATAAATAGTGCTTAAAAATAATTATATAAAAGAACGAATCAAATAACCTGGAAATAGCAAAAGAGTGTCTGAAAACGATAATAGTTTATAAATATTATTTATTCCTGGTTTGTATTTATACTTCTATACTATTTCTTCTAAATTTCAGATTTGAGCTGATTCAGTAAAAAATGAAAGAGGTTTTGTGGATTGATTTTGTTCACTTTGTATGTCCGGTATTTGGCCACTGTATACAGTACCTGGGGTCTTATTCAAGAACTTCATTTTTTAAAATTGAATAGTACCTATAGATACTGTATACTACATTTGGGGAAATATTATATTAAAAGTAGTAAATCAATGTAGTTATACCCCGGTCTTATTTAAGAAACAGGCTGATAGAGATGGTAAATAATACCCAGGTATTAATTATGGGGTATTATTTTTGGGATACTGCTACTGGTACTAAATGACTTTTTTCATACTTACGATTATTTTTCAGTATTACGTGAATGTATAGGATTTTTGTCAGGAAAGTCTGAATCATATGATTTACATCTTGATCTTGATTATCCAAATAAAAATCTATATTAATTTTTTTTTTCTATTTGCCGCTTGTTAAAATGTGTGTTTATTACTCTATAATTAGAGATATTAACCTATTATGTTTTAAGTGCTATATAACAAAAAAATATATTTTGTCAAATCAGGTACTGTTATATTTTTGAAAAGAACTAATTATTGTATAGTTCCGAAAATAAGCTACCTTCAAAAATAAGCTACCCCCCTCTCAAAGAAAAATCTTAAAAATGTCTTTTCCCCAAAAATAAGCTACCTCTGCGATTTTTTTATTTTCTTAAATAGTTGCTATATATAAAAGTCAAAATTCTACTAAGTAAACCTACAAAAGTTACTTAATAGGGATTGTTCAGAAGGTAATAATATACACATTCTGAAAGTTTCAGACTAATTGGATAACTTTTTACTAAAGTGTTTTTGCATTATAAATTAAAATCTTAAAATGCAAAAACATCTTAGTAAAAAGTTCTCCAATTTGTATAAAACTTTCAGGATATGTGTATTTTTATCTTCTGAACAATCTCTATTAAGTAACTTTGTAGATTTACTTAGTGGAATTTTGACTTTTATATATAGTAACTACTTTTACTTAATAAAAATTGCTAAAAATAATCAAAAATCAATTACATTCAATAATAAGCTACCCCATGATTTTTGTGTAACTTTTTGGCCAAAAAAGGGTAGATTATTTTCGGAAACCTACGGTAATGTTCAATATGTGTTTTTCGTGTTAATTTCTTTTTTTTTTAATACAAAAATCCAGGTCTATGAATCGACTTTGAGTCTTTATTTGCACTTAAAAACATATCTAAAAAAAAAAAACATGGTGACTTTGCAAAAGTACTTAATCATGATAAAATTAAGTTTTCACAGAATAGAAAAAATGATGAATAGTGCATTACTATTATTTTATATTATATTCTTGATGATAATATAGTTTTTAATTATATGATTTATTCTATAGATGTGTCTGAAGTTAAGAATAAATATACATATTCAAATATTATCAAAAATTTGCCAAGATGGGTCATTCTAGTGAAAATTTCAGTCTTGGCCATTGCTATAAAAATGGAATTGGGGATGATAAGGATAAATATGAGACGTGAAAATAGGTAATGCTAATGAAATTAGTGGTGGATCCAGTTTAAGGAAAATCTGGATATCAAAATATAATTTAGAATTAAATTAAATAAATTAATTTATGATTAAATTAAATAAATTAATTATGACTTTTTTTTTTATAATTGAGCATCAAACTAAATTAGTATCATAATTATTAGGATTAATCGATTAGTTGATCGAGTTGGCAACTAATTAATTAATTATTGCAAAACGATATTAATCGATTGACCAACTAATCAACTAATTGATTAATCAATTTCCAACTAATTAATTAATTGATTTCGAATAATCGATTAGTTGACTATATGTCGGTATGTATGTATCTATGAATATATCAGATATATTAACTATTCAAAAGCACTAATATATACTTAGTGTGGGTTAGAAAACTCAAATGATTAGCAAAGGTACTTGCAAGAATATCACGATAATTTCTTTGAACCTTTATTAAGCTCAGATATCTGTATCATGTTTAGCTCAATAATTATATCAAATATTGTATTCAATTTTTATTTATTAAATTAAATAAGATCGTACATTTTACTTTTTCGATTTGAAAATAAGTTAAGATGTTTAAAATAAAACTAATAAAATTCTCAAAAGCAATTCATAAAGGTTTTTAGAATAAATAAGATTATTGCACAATATTTTTAACTAAATAAATTCTGATACCGCATAGGGTCTTTGCCTTGAAAATAACTTTATAGTATCATGTACTGTAAGGTTATTTTCAAGGCAAAGACCCTACATGATTTTGTTAGAGAATTTTTATTAATATAAATTATAAGTTCATTTAAAATAACAGAATTTGAATTGATCAAATATTTTCATTATGATCGTTATAAATTCAAAAGACAAATGTGCCACTATGCTCTTTCTTTCTAATCTAAAAATATTTTAACAAAGAATTAAAGAAGTTAGTATAGAGTTATTGCCTATCTAATTTCATTATTACTAAAATCCAAAGAAGTCAGCACAGTGTTCTTGCAAAATCAATGATTTCCTTCAAGACGCTTATGCTATGTAGAGTGGTCAGCTAACACTCTTCTCTTTTTGGTTCAATTTTATTCATTTTAAGAACCAAAGAAATCAACATGAAGATCTTGCAGAGTACAACCGCTAGCTTTTTTTGCTTCAGAACTAATTTAATTAGCATTATGGTTGGTATATATTTTTATTTTCTGATTATTGCCAACATGTAGAAAAGTTAGCACACAGTACCTTGTTAACACTTTTCCTTCCTATGATTCAATTCAATCATCACCAAAATTTGAGGTATTCTTACAGAGTACATTAGCTAACATTTCCCTCTTTCTGATTCAATTTTATTTTAAAGAAATTAATATGGAGTTCTTGCATAGTGTAACCACAAAGCTTTTCTGTTTCAAACCCACTTTACTTAGCATTAAGATAGTCATAATGGTAATCATTATTAAACTTTTGGGTCCATCACCAGGATTTAAAGAAGTCAGTATAGCGTTTTTTCTCTTTCTGATTCAGTTTAATTTCTTTTAAGACTCCAAGAAATCAACCTGAAGTTTTTGTAGAATGCAACTACTATCGTTCTAATCCAAGATATTACTGCCAGGATTTAAAGGAATCATAGTAGTACTTTTGCAATGCGAAATTTGCTAACGTTTTCCTTTCTTAGATTTAAATTTGTTTCGACTATGAACTAGCTTTTTTTTAGCAAGAGCACAACATTATTAAATCCTACAATAAAGTACTTAAAAGTTAAAATGTTAGCACTTAAAATGCAAGCATTATTAAAAAATTCTTAAGTTTTTAAGTTTCACATATTTTTTTAAGAAGGGTTGATCCCGAAATATTTATTTCTGTCAATACACATGTAGAATTTTTTTTACCCTCGGCTATACAAATTCCGATAATTCTTAATAGAGTTATTAAAGTAAGATATTTTATGTTTTATAATCAGATTGGGTGGTAATAATGAGACTACCATATTTTTGGCTTTATTCGGAGGTGTAGTTTTTAGAATTCTAAATATTATTGTTTTCTGTTTTACACATTTGAACATTCTATATAACTTCACGTTACACACATAAATAGTATTTAAAAAATTGATCTGCATTATTTGACACAAAATTATAACACAAAGTCATTTTAGAAAAGTCAAAATACAGAAATATGTAACAGGAACAATGTTACAATGTTATGTGTACGTAAGTAATTAAATTATTCATTTGTCCACTCGCATTTCTTCCAAGTATCTTAGTCAACTATTAATACTCTATCTGCAATCAAATTTTCTTGAACTTGCACTTGCTAAGGATAGAAATCTTTCTATACCGCTTCTTCATCCACCTGCATAGTTTCACTACTTTCATAATCTTGAATATCTAAAGTAGGCTCTTTAGATAAGTTGGTTTTTTTATATTTTTTAGTATGGATTTTCAAAGATCCTTTTAAAGCATAATATCGATTACAATAAGAGCAGAGGTATTCATTAATTGATTTATTGATAGTTGAGCAATATCAATCAAAGAGAAAATACTTTAGATCTGTGTCTGGAGAAGTTAACTTTCTTTCCATTAATACAGAGAGAAGTAAGCCACCAAAGTAAGTTGTATTATCAGATATGCCTATGCTTGCTGTGCAAATACTATGAAGCTTCTGTTGGAACAAAAGTAGTGGTAGAAAAAAGTGATTTGGAAGGACCTGTTTGATTCCACTACGAAAAGGTTTATAGCAGCTTGGATCATTACACTTTATAACTTGAGTTATATAATAACAAGTCATTACATGTTTTTCCATCCAAGCTGCTGATTTTTCATTTGGGCAGTAGGATTCTTTGGAAGGTTCTACATACTTAACAAGTACCAAATAACTATCGATAATTGTATCCTCCCACACTAATGTCAAAACATCTCTGGCCACTTTGAAATTGCGTTTTTCCAATTTCTCATCACTTGTCTTTAACTGTGCATCCAAATGTGATCCAAAGGTATCATGTGAGAGGATTATACCAGCTAAGTTATAGCTTAAGGATGCCATTTGTCTTTTTACTAGGTTGAATGCACTCTGGTATAGTGCATAGCATGCTATAATGATAGTATCAAGATCATACTTAATAAAGTGATTTACTATCATCTGAACTGTTTTTCTATAGCATGGATTCTTGTCGGATCCACCATCACTTATCATTACCACTACAGGTTTAGGCTGGCTATCCATCATAGTAAAGTTGTGTAATTTCTCCTCAACCATCAAGTCATCGAAGTCTTTGCCATGAGAGTAAGCGGTACTACTATCATGTTTGCTACTACAAATTCTTATAAACGTTGGATCTGAATATGTTACTGCTTTAGTTTATCTATATTTATCTTCTTGTATGTCTAATACTGTATAAACTGAAGAGATCAGTTTATGCCTTTTGACAACAACCCAATCATGATCTGGCAATTCTACTTGGTATTTCAACTTTATAAGAATCAGTGCTATATAAATTAATTAATTATTATTAGTAAGTTTTATTTTTTTATTTATTATTTTAAATAGTAATTCTAAATTATAGTAATCTTGTTTGTTGGCCGCAGCTAAACCGAGAGATATTCATGCTTTATCATCTTAAGATATTACTAAAGCACTTTTGGGACCCAATAATGATACCATTTCTTTTGTATTTTTTATTAAAGCAGTGCAGAAATGGGTATTATCATGGCTTCTTCTTGCTGAATTTTGAGACTTTAGAAGCTTCACTGGCACCGTTTTAATGTATCGCTTTCCTTCTTCACTACTATGCTGTCTTGGAATTAGCCTAAGATATGTTGCAGAGCATGACAGTTTATAGTTTATATTTGTTAATGCTTTTTGAAGCTAGTTTAAGGTCTTGACGGACCATATTAATTCTGAACGCCATCTTTCATCAGCCTGTCTATCTGAAAAAACAATTTGAACAATAGCTTCCAATAAACCTGGCTATGCTTCCTCTAAACTTGGACGACCAACTGTTGGCTTAACAAGCTGCATATTGAAACCTGCTTCTTTAAGCTGCTTTTTTATCTGCTGAAGCTTCTGCCTTTTCTGAGATCTATACTTTTGTTGAGACCATTGATGATATTCTAATTTATTTAAAGCTTTTAGTGATGATGCGAGTTCACTTTGAATACTTGTTTTTTTTTCTTTATTAGTATCAGAAATTATTCCTTTATTTTCTAATACTTCAAGATGTTGTAACTCCCGATTTAATTGAGAAATTACGTCTTTGAGCTTAGACTAAGCTGGTGTCTCTTGAATTTTAACCATTTCTACTCATTATTAAGTCTTATTTTTTTTTTAGTGAGTTGTTTTTAGATTACTCTGGAATCGAGACAAATACAAATAAAATATTTAGTGATTCGTGATTCAAACAAAAATAAGCAAGAATTTGTTCAAGAATTGAAGACTTACTGTGAAATTGGAAACAAGAATACTTCGTTCTTGGAATGTGCTAGAGCATCAAAAAATAATTATGGCGATTATATTAATGTTTTGAAGCTTGCAGTAAAAGGTTCGTTATGGCAAAATCTCATATATTACAATTAGAATAGAAAGATAAATTAAATCTCTTACTAGTATAGTATTAGATATCAAGTCAATTTATTTGCAAGGACTTGTTCATAGAGTTTTATATAGCGGAAATATTTTACAAGATTCACATTTTAGAGTATATATATTTATATAACAAGGTCTAATGTTAAAAATTTTTTTTAAACGCAACTAGCACGTTCAAGAGATTCTTGTCGATATGAATAAGGAAAGTATAGATACGCTTTAAGAATTTTATTAATGTTTATTATTTAATAACGCTAATATATAATATGAATTTGTCTTACTTTTCTTTTTTTGAATTAGCATCTTAGTTCAAATATGGTTATGTGAATTCTTGTTAATATGAGTAGGGAAGTATAAATACAATTGAATTATTAGTATATCAGGCTAACAATATTAAAAATTTTTTTTAAACATGACTAGCACATTCAAAAGATTCTTGTTGGTACGAATAAGGAAAATACCATATATTGCCGAAAATAAGCTACCCTTTTTTGGCCAAAAAGTTACACAAAAATCATGGGGTAGCTTATTTTTGGATGTAATTGATTTTTGATCATTTTTGGCGATTTTTATTAAGTGCAAGTTGTTGCTATATAAAAAAGTCAAAATGCTACTATATAAATCTACAAAAGTCACTTAATAGCGATTGTTTAGGAGGTAAAAATACACATATACTGAAAGTTTCATACAAATCAGAGAACTTTTTACTAAGATGTTTTTGCATTTTACGTTTTTAACGTATAATACAAAAATACCTTAGTAAAAAGTTCTCTGATTTGTATGAAACTTTCAGAATATGTGTATTTTTATCTCCTGAACAATCGCTATTAAGTGATGTTTGTAGATTTACCTAGTAGAATTTTGACTTTTATATATAGCAACTATTTAAGAAAATAGAAAAATTGCAAGAGTAGCTTATTTTCGGAGGAAAGATGTTTTTAAGATTTTTCTTCGAGAGAGGGGGTAGCTTATTTTCGGAGGTGGTTTATTTTCGGCAATATACAGTATAGATGCACTTTAAGAATTTTATTAATGTATATTATTTTAATAATGCTAATATCTATAACTATTACAGGTTCAATAAATACATAAAGAATGCATATCGGTATCCCTTTATTATCCCGATATCTATCCTTTATGTATCTATTTTTAATCTGATTTTCTACTGTTTTTTAGCGGATGTATGGCAACATAAAGGATAGGTATCGGTATATTATATAAGATAAATATAAGATAAATAAAGTGTATCTGTTAATATCCCAATATCTATCCTTTATATAATAATTATATATCTGTTTTGTTGCATGTTTTGAAATTATAAAAGATAGATATCGGCATATTGAAAATAAATATCAGCTAAATAAAGGGTAC